TTTTCTCAACCCGAAGTGAAACCCGTTCCTCTCAGAAGCAAACTAACAAACGCTTCCACGTGTCTTCGTATACATGGAAGCAACGACGGAACGTCCAGTTAAGACGTACACTTCTTGACAGTAGACGGCCGAGCGCTCGGCAAAGTGTTAATTTCGCGTGACGCGTGCGCCGCTTTGAAGTGCTGAAGTTGACCCTCGAACTTTCGTGCACGCACACGCCATCATCGTCTTCGAAGCGCGGCAATTTGAATGTGAAAATCGTGGCTGAGTGGCTCGTAGGGCCGGCGAACACGAATACATAACTCGTCTCTTTTCTCCCCGGCGTGGTGATCACCGTGTAACCAGCCGAGCGCTGGTTAAGGCTCGTTCTCGTTCGAACGTGCGTCGCATGCACGCCGATTTCGTAAATGAGACGCTTTTGTTGCCGATCGAGGCACAGGCTGTAACCGTAACGACGAGAAAGGGTGGTCCCGCGGTTAACTGTACTTTCTCTTTTTTCACCCTGTTATCAGCGATCCACTGTTGCCCGCATGAAACGCGATAACGATCGCGATCATCCACGTCGTTTAACACCCCCTTGGAAAGTTACGCCTAAAAGTTACCGGCGGCCGCTGGCTCAAATTAATTTCGATCGTTCGATGAAAATTGATCACGTCACGCGACCGTACATCGTTTCGCTGTTTGATTCAATGGCTATTTCCTGATCGATGTGAATTTCATTTTTTGTCGTATATTTGCAAGATCCTCAAGCTGGAGATACGGGAATTTATTGTACACGTATCTTCTCTGCCAGAATTCGGGGTAAAGGAGAGTAATATTAGCCCGTGGAAGAGATGGAGAACATTTATCTCTTTTGATTACGTTTATCATGTGAGTCGTTCAAAAGCCATATTGATCAACTTCATAAATTGAAAAGCATATATTTTACTTTCATTATAGTTTAAAATATACTATTAATGAAAGTAAGTCATTTGTTCCTTAAAAATTTAATGCACTTATCCTTTCAACTACATGGAACGTCAAGAAATGACAAAATTAAGCCATGAATTAATTAATTCAATTTTAGATGAATAAACATAATATCAATATAATACAAATATAAATTAATTTAATTTCAGATGCATGATGAAATCGCTTATTAACGTTACTCATGTTTTGCATAAATTTTGCTCCGACAACTACTGACGTAGTTAAAATACATGTATCATTATTACGTATAGAAGCAAACAAACACCGAGAATAATATATTTCACAGTTATTAAACCAATTTATATCGTCTATAATCAAAATTTGCAAACGTCGAATTATCGGGACTTGTGGAATACGTTTAACAACACGTTTCTGCTATTTTAAAGCAGAGACTATTTTAAACTGACTTTTTGATGTTTTTCTTTCCGATTCGTCGACATTACAGTACACGATATGCAAAGCTAACAGTTTCTAATAATACCAGTAAACAAAAAAAAAAAGAAAAAAAAAATTAAGACAGATTAAAGAAAATGTAAACCCGAGTAATGGGCAGTTTGCCATAGTCTATGATTACTGTAGCAGAAGACGGTAATCTGGCTACGGACATTGATGTAAAGAAACTAGAAAGTAAGATTACCAGTCGTTTGCACAAGGGAAACGATTGATCCGGATAATTACAGTCCTTTGATGACTCGCATCCGTTTTCGTTACGTAATGATAACGAAGGAACCAATATCTTTTCTAATAACAAGGAAATATCATATTAATCTTGCTTTGTTCGAGTGCGTTTCATTGAATGGAACTTTCGTTTATTTTATTATTAGCAAACGCTAGACACAAGAAGAACGATTCTACGGTTGATTTTTATTTTAATTTCGAGACGTTGATCGTTGTATTCTCGTAAAGGAATTGAAAAGTATTCTCGTAACAGACTTTTATTTATAACGAGATGCCCGAAATGCTCGTGATGAGCATGAAATGAAATGTTAAACATTTCAAAATTTTTTCAGCATTAAATTAGATAAAGTTAATTAATCAAGAGTATTGACGTTGTTTCTTCAATTAACAAAACAATATCTAATTTCATTCAATGCCAATTTTTCGCCTCTCCTGGAAAGGAAAGATATACTTTTTCTAGTTAGTGTGTCACTTTCTTCGCAAGGACGACAGAAGGACAATTATAGCCTCGAGCATTTCCACGCTGCAATAATTCACAAATTGCGCAACTGTTGCCATTCGCGATGCAACAGAACCCGCATTCCTCTATGCGCCGAGAAACGCGTTCCGCTCTTTCGACGCGCGGAAGCAAGCGTGAGACAAGACGAAGAAACCAGAGATACTCGTTCGAGATGAAATCGCGATCGATGCGGATCGAGGATCGCGGGTCGAGTTCGCGGGCTCGCGCCTCTCAAGAAAAACAATCGCACGAGTAACTGTACATCTCGTTTTTCAGAAAAACAACCGGCGATCGTTTCTTCTATTCGTCGCGAGATTCGAGAAAATCGATCGAACGATGCCTTCCATTCTCGGACTGATAAGCACACGGTAGAATTGATTTTGTTTTGGGGAATTCATTCTCGGTAATGGCGAATTCCGAAAGTGCCTGTGAATTATCTGTGTGGGACATTTATGGGACAGGAAATTTCATTTGTGAGAAATATGCACGTCACATTCTAATTCCACTTTACGTTCTAAAGTGAAGTATGTGAATTTAACAAAATTGATGTGTCATTAGGAAACAGACTGTAGAATATGATACATGGGATAAGATATCTGTTAAAGATACTGAACTGTAATCTATACATAGAATAAGAGATAGGGGATATAAATTATGAACTATAAGAACGACAACTAGTGATATAGAATATGGGGGATATAATAAAGTATTTGAAGTGGAAATATTAGTGCTGAAAATTAGCATAACGCAAATACGTACGCGCTATTTCAATTTATTTTAATGTAGGATCGCCGACTAAATGCCACGCTGTGCACAGAGTGACACGCGAGAATAAAGATATTATCCCATATTCAAGTGCAATTGTCCTTTCAAAGCCACTTTAGACGGCTAGATATAACATCCCATTACAATTTCAAATTTATCCCAATTTACCTAATACCGTTTAACTCGATAAAGCTGGTGCTTAAACGCGAGAATTCGAAAAGATGCACGTCATATAGCACGTCAATTTTTAATAATAGTAATGGAAGTATTAAATAATTGCGGATACTTATGCATTTATGGGCAACTTGAAGTGTACGTAATATTCACTGTAAAACTGTATGAAATATTCGTACGATGTTGTAATATTTAACAAGCGAAATAATTCCCTACCATAATCTCTTCAGGATATATTATACGAAACCTCTGAACTATAATATTTAATAAATAACAATTTTCAATTCTATTCACAAAGATATAAATAATATTATATAAAATATTTAAATTTCACAAACAAAACAATTTCCTATTTAGATCTTTCTTTCCTTTTATATCTATAAAATTTTATAGATATAAATATACATTACGTAAAATTTGATGCAATATGTAATATTAGATATATAATATTTTATTCATGTTATGGTTACCTCTTATAAAATCGAACGAATGAAACAACTTTCTACTTAGATTTTCTACTTTCTCTATCCAACTTACAAAAATATGAATCTACATATACAGAATAAAATACATACACAAATATCACAATATTTTGCATAAATTTAATGTTAGATAATCTCCTATCCAAACTACGATGTCGAAAAACTAAAAAACAATTTACTACAGATTTCCTCAGATCCTCTTCTCTTCTATACTACTCGTGCGAGATTCAGATTTACATAAACATCCGCTTATTACACGGCTGTGTACCTACCACGCTGTTTCTCGGGCTCGTGTTCGACAATGAAGGCAGGAACTGCCGTGACCATTTGATAATCAGCCTCGGCGACGTCCTGCTCCTGTTCCTGCTTGGAGGCCAGCAACGCCTGCATGGCGCTCGCGTCCCCGCAGCTTCTCCTCGTGTACTTCGTCCTCGAAACCCTCAGCAGGGCGGCTGGACTGATGCTCTGACAGTTGTCCCGCGGCATCGACGTCCCCGGCGGTTCGTCCAGGGTCGTCGGGCTCGACAACGAAAGGGCCACGTCGTCGGCGCTGTGGCGCCTCGACTTCGACAGCCGCTTAAACATTCCTTCCACCTGCAATTCGATCCAATTCCCGAAATTTAGTCGTGATACTTTGGTAGACCGACTTGGTGTTTAAAATACAGATATTATTATTGTTACGATATGTCATAATTGTTGCAAGATCGGGAGAAATTTTAATTCTAATTTTCAAGTTAAATACACGTCAGTCGGGTCAATTTCAATTAAATTTCTATTCTGGAATCTTATCACGAATGCTGCCGCGTCGGATCAAGTAGATATCCAATTTCCTTGGCTCGAAAAATTCATTTCGAGAAACGACGAAAGCTACGTGCAGCTGAATTTTTCTAGCAATTCGTTCGAGATAACGGATCGCGCGTAACGATTGGCATCGATCGCAGGTCAAATTCCTCTTGGCGGACGCGAGCTACCTTGAAATTTAGCCTTCCACTCTAAAAACCGACAGTCACGTAAAAAGCAGCAACGAAGTGGTCGTATTCGTTGCAATATAATAGTGGACGCGCTTCGATCCGTAACTTTCCGAGTACGATTTACCGTTTCAATTCCTTCTGAATACACAGCCGATACATCGTTGCTTTTTGCGATCCGATGAACTCGACATAAATCACCGACCGACTCGGCCGAAGCAACACGGCGAAATTCCGTTCGAAGTGTTCATACGTTATCACAACGTATGAATTCAAACGTTATCACAACTTTTTATTCGAACATTTTGAAATTTCGTCAGTAGCACAGCGAGATCGCGACTATCGCGATCTAACTTGAAAATACGAAAGTACTCGAGCGATCGTACGAACTTTTTTATGAACACGTTTCGCGTATCATATTCCGAAATATTTTGAAATTTTATCAACAGTGTGATACGACGTGATTTTATTGGTATTTTTAAGAATTCTCGAGATTTCTCAGTACGCTACGTAACATGTTAATTTTATTACTTGAAGGTTTGTGTAATCCTTTGTCATTATATTCTAAGGAAAATTTATTTCTATTCACCAATTCGGTACAAATTAAACGACTATTAAAAATGTAGCAATATGCTCATAAATTGTATGGAGAGGCGTATAAATATTTTTGCGAGTCACGTTTCAATGTTTTTTGCATCGAGTGACCGAAACGATGGTGGAGAAAAAAAGAAAAAAGAGGAATTCACACGAAAAATGGAAAAACTATAAGAAGAGATAATTTTTGTTCCGTGTGCACGTGTGTTATATATATATATATTTTTTTTTTTTTTCCATCAATGTTTGCTCAATCTCCGTAACAGCATTTTCCTTTTGAAAGAAGAAAGAAACACAAACATCACGGTTCACTGCAGTCTTTTTCTGCGATTGAAGAGATAGGAAAGGGATAATTGAAAAATGAAAGGGAAAAATGTGGAAGATAAATGTTTGTAAAAATACAGGGTGCGACCGAAAATTATGAGAGGATAAAATTTTCTCGTTTGACGTTTATGTTTCGTTAACTGAATGTTTTCGATGAAATCTTCATTAAAAAACGCGAAACAGTCAATTTCATAAGGAAACGGTGCGGAAACCCGGTGTCTATCGCAGAATTCATGAGAAATTCTCTTTCAATCCCTCGGTTATTTACGATACTCTAATTAGAGCGACGTGCATCGACGAAACAATGATTCTGGGATCGCTGATGTCTTCGTGTAGGTCTGGTGCGTTCGGGTCATTGCATTCGACACGACCTTCGAGGTGCGTTGAATAGGTTCTTGCTCTCTTAGCTTTATGACGGAGCTTACACGGCTGCACGTACCAACAAGAGAAAAACGGTCGCCACGGAACAAGTAAACGATCGGGGGAAAAAGTTTCAGTACACTCCGTGTCGTCGTCCCGTTAACCCTCGACAACCAGTGTCGCATATCAAACGTCGATATATCTATCAAAATAACATAATTATCTTACTACTTTAATTGAAGTTTCTTTTTTTTTTAATTTCTGCGTTGAATATATTATTTTGTATCGATATTCCAGGTTTGTGAAGTTTTAACAATTTCAGAATTAAAAGAATGAAGTTGTCACAGATTCTTTAAAACAAAAAATAGTCAGAATTCGAATGTCTCTAAAAACATTGATAAATTTTTCTCTTTTTTTTTTGTGAATAAATACATCGCGATCTTGAACTGAGCTTTTCCCTTTAAAATGATCCCTACAAATCGTATTTTGTACGATTTCTTTTTTTTCACCATTTTATTAAACTTCGAACATTACAATTAGACTACGAAACGTTAAAGTTTCTTGAATTTTTGTTGTTCAATCCTACGATTCAAAGTTCAAATAAAATGATAAAAAAAAAAGATGGTACAAGTTTTAAGAAGTCGATTTTAAATAGGAAATTTTGATCTTCAATCCTATTGTGGATTCGTATTTATTTCCATAACGAATAACCTGCTAGGATGAAATGATCATCGAGGCAAAATAGACACTGAATCTACTAGAATAAAATCGTTGTCTAGTCACATTGGACATAAAGGATTAATGTTTCCAGAGGATCAAACTCGATATTCGGCAAAAACGAGGGGAACCGACTGTCGAGAATACCAGTTGATGGACGTGGAAACCATTCGTATAACAGTGGCATTACGGCGATCACGAGATATTATTTTCGAACGGCGGTAGCCGCGGCCGCATGGAGAGCAATTAACTTTTCTCCCGACGGTCGGCTACGAAGGCCGCTCGCTATTATTTATTTTCCTTCGCCAAGGTCCTCTGGTTGCACGAACCGGAGTCTTGATGCACAGCCGAGAGACACAAGGCAACACCCGACAGAGAGAAAGAGAGAGAGAAAGAGAGAGAGACGAAGCGGAACGTCTCATTCTTGGTGTGAACGTCCCGTTTCTGCCACCCTCCCACGCACCCCACTCGCTTCACTCTCTTCTTCCCTCGTTTCCGTTCGCCAGCGTGCCACACTTTTCCTCCGGTTTAAAGTATTTCCACCGTGCGATTCAACGATTCCGCAGAAAGAATCTTTTCGAGGCATATTTTGCGATGAATTCGAGTATGAACTCTCTGGATGGGTAGATGGGTGAAAAGGTATAAAGTCAGTAAAACGGCAAATTTCCGGATATCACAGACATTGCATCCAATGTACTTTTTCGGCCATGGTAATAAGATCCTCAGGATCTTACTATTTTCGTCTCACATCCGGTTGTATCGATTTTACGACCGCAGCACTTTCAGTAGTGAAAATTAAAATTAAAAAAAATAGTGTTGCCAGATCTGTTTCGAGAATTATTTATTGAATTGAATGGTACTTCATCAATGAAGGAATATAAGCAGCCAATTTAAAACAGCGACTAATGGAAATTGGGATGAAAAATTTAGCACACATCTGATTATTAACACGTATTTAAAAGTATTAGAAAAGATTGATTGAAATATAATATTT